CTATCCCGAAGCTCTTCACAACGAAGACCTCCAATCCGAAGCTCCATTTGGCCGATGCCCTCGCTCCAACCTGAAGCCCCCTTTGGCCGAAGCCCTTGCTGTTTTTTAGATGAGTTACGACAATTTTTAGGAGTAATTGATATAACGTTATAATAATGAATGTTAGGATTATCCGCTTAGGGTAAAGGGTGGCTAACCCTTTGTAAATGTATAGTAGATTGAGTGATGTGAGACTTCGACAGTTCGACATGAGAGATGATGCCACATAATTTTTATCCAATAGCTACCACTTCCACCAGAACTCTATAAATAAGCAATCTTTGTAACATTTGAATCTAATGAAACTATTAATACTTAAAATCACACACGATCTTCTCTTGTGCCAATTTTATATTTATTTGCTTGAGTTTAGATTGTTCGAACATTTTCGTCTCGCGTCATAGAGCATCTCTCTCGTCCATAAATGCCTTCATATTCCGTTTAAATATCCGGTCGAAATGTGTTGGAATTTGCCATTATCCCAAGCCACTTCGTGCATCATAAAATTCCCAAATACTATAGAAGCGGTGATCGTGCGAAGCAACTCCACAACTTCAAGACCCATATGAGCCTAAGGGGTTCAACTCCTATTGTAAAGTGTGAAGTCTTCCACTTGACTCTAACTGGGGCGGCTGAAGTGTGGTACATCAGACTTCCAGAAGAAAGTATCAGAAATTGGCCAGATAAATAATGAGTAGTGAATCAGATATAGATTCATTTGGAAATCTTTCCTGTCCAGTTTATAAAATTTTATTGGAAAATTTAATTACATAATGTTAGACTAAACATGGACACAATGCATAAGACGTTTGAAATTTTAAGTAGAATGCTAAATTCTAGAATGTGTAACGGGGAGTTTTATGAAAGCATTCAAGAATATTGTAGGCAATGTAGTAAAAATGAAGACAACAAGATTTTAGTAGGTTTCCAGCAGTAGAAAGCACGTAGAAGGCGATGAAGAATCTAAGATTTTCTTTGAAATTATCAAAACATTTTTGAACGTAGTAGAAGTGTACAGAGCATGACTTATAGGGAATCAACCCGAAATTCCCAACTGGTGAGAAACACCGAATAGAGAAAATATACACCAAAGAAAAATAATCATACGCACAAGACAATACTTACGTGGTTTGGCTAATTTACCTACGTCCACGGAGTTTCAGAGATTTCACTATTATCAGGGAAATGATACGAAGTGCGGCTGTACAATTTTTTTCTCTCTACATATATCATAAAGAACTCTAATCACCAAAATTGCGTTTTCTATATATCTTTCGCACATGATTCACAATGAGCAATTAAGCGGGCCAAAAAATCTCCCGTTAGAACACCACATGACATTATTCGGATCGGGTCGTCCCCTGAATCAAACAAAACTAGGCTCCATAAAGCCCAACATGACTCTCCAACGCCGAATCAAATAATTTATCACATTCTACTTTACAGGATGATGCCTATAAAAGGGGTGGTTTACTATTTGCAAACCATGTTTTGCAGAAAAGTTTCACGAGAGACGCTACAAATATATATTGGCGGAATTAGGGTGGGGCATGGTGGGTCACCTGCCCCACCAAATTTTTTGATTTTGATTTTATTTGATTTTGATTTTATTATGAAGATGGTTTTAGTTTTAGTTTTAGTTTTTTTTACACAAATTTTTTTCTTTTTTTTAGATATTTGCATCATGGTGTTTACTTTTTCTTTACTAAGAAAGAAGCCACAAATTTCATAATAATGGATTCAAATCGTATATCAGTTTCCAATGAACGAAGCATATACCATTTTAATATCTTAGTTCATACATCATTTAATTTTTATTTTCCGTTTCCCTTTCGTTTGTTATAAAAAATCTATTGATCAATTCCAATTTTTAACGAATTAAATTAGATGATTTTATGTGTCAATCTTTTTGACTTAATTTTGTGGAATCAAGGTCGAAGAGATTAAAAAATCAGTCATTCACAACCATTGATAAATAATTCATCAAAAAGTTAAGAATAAGTAATTTTTTCCATTTTCTTTTCACAATTCCTCTGTTTTTTTAAAAATTGTCCATGCGATATATGTAATACCATGAATTTAAAGATTATATGTGGAAAAATGGTATCATAATGAGTTTATTCATTTTATTATCTTTTTATTATTATTTTTTTCAGGGTGGAGTGTGTTATTGGTATTTTTTCAAAGTTAAAATTATTATATTTTACACTTATTTATTTCAATTATATTTTCAACACACTTTTAGTTTTCGTCATGATTTGACTCGTACATAATTTTTATTATGAATGGCACCAAAATTTGTTCTCAAGGTCTTTGTTTACTTTAATATTGTATTGAACTATCTTATCCAAATACTTAAATACAGAAAAGAAATAAATTTATTTATTTATATTCTATGTTTAACAAGAGTTATTTTAGTATTGAATTAAGAAATTTAGAAGGAACTATATCTTCTATATATTAAAAGTGACTATGTAACAGAATTTCTTGTTTTTAACGGAAAAACTAACGGAATTTGTTGTTTTAACGGATTATGTAACATAATTTTTTGTTTTAAACAGGCAGCTGCACCTTCTTTCAGTGTTTTTATCATAACTTTGTATTCCGATATCCGATTGAGGCGATTCAAAATGCGTTGGAAGAGAGCTACAAGTAATAGGAGCTAAGACAGCTGCACATTCTTTTAGTGTTTTTATCATAACTTTGCATTCCGATATCCTATTGAGGCGATGCAAAATGCGTTGGAAAGCTAACTCATCTGGCTACAACTTTGATTCAGACATCATTCTCCAATTTGATCATTTTCTATGCCAAAAATAGGTCTCAATATGAGACTAAAACATTGGAGCATAACTTTTCGGTTGGAAATTGATTTGTGATCATCTTTTGACTAAATTTGATTCCATTGACGTTTTTCTTTATCCAATTGACTCCGAGCACTCTCAAATTTTCATCATGAGGTTCGACACAACTTTTAAGTATTTACATTTTAGTCCCCGAACTTTGGATCCCTTACAATTTAGCACTTTCTCCATTGGTGAAGTTCACTTGAAGGTTAATTTTCCTAATTGAACCGTAATGAAATTTCATATATGTTTCTACGTTTTTGTGTTTGGTGGATGCTGCAATTGGTATTGGAACTGATTAGTTTGATATCTTGAATTGGAATTATCGGGGTTCATTTAACCAATTCTTTATGTGTTGCAGATTTATAAAAAAAATCATTTTGGACCATTTTGGTAGATTACTTTTTCCTTCTTTAATATGAATTCTCTTAATTTATCAGACCCTGTTGCTTTTATAACTGTTTAAGCTTTGTTAATTATTTCAGTTTTCTTTGAAGACGAGAATTTGTGTGCCTCAGGCTAAATATGGTTGGAAACTATACTAAATTTTGTCATGGTTAGCCAAATATTTTTTGGGGGGTATTTCTTTTCATTTATTAATAAATGACAATCTACTTTTCCTGTTCTTTTGTGAGTTTTGATCAATCCTGTTAATCTGTGCCAATGCACGAGTATGATTTATGTTAGCCCAATTAAATGATGAGAACGTGAATACATTGTTTTAATGAGGTCATTTCATTGTAGTTAATATCTTGAGAATAGCCTCATTCTGTATTCGGTTGTGGTACATGTATATAATAAATTTACATAATAATTTACATACACATGATATGATGAGATATAATGAGGTCAGAATTTCTTTAACTAAATAAAAAAAAATTTATTTTCTTTTTGACACATCACCTGTATCTAAATTATTATATAACTATTTATGCACAAGTAGCATTATTATTCTTCTCTATCCCCATCCGGCCATCCCCTATCGTATTGCGTCCTAACCTTTGTCGTATCCTCAACTTTTGCCTGTGCCACCCCCCTCGACTTGCTTCACCTTCTTCCCAACTTTCACTTTGCTGTTTACTAATTTCTTTTTTCTTTTTTCTTTTTATGTCGTAATTTGAAGCTGATTGAGAATGAAGATAATATGAAGGAGATCATGAGATGAATCTCACTTTAGTAAGAATAATTCAAATTTATTGATTGCCTGATTTTGACAAAATTTTCACCCTTCTACCACCGATACGACATTGGCACCATTTTAGCCTTAATTCACCACTGAAGTGTGGAGGTTTAAAATTTCCTAGTCTAATTTTGATGAATTTGTACAATTTGCCATTAATTATCACGAATTCAAACAAATAATTACATAAAAACATGCAATTTTTTCGGGTAACAACATTTTTATTCGATCAAATGTACATAGAGATTAGATAACAACGATCTAGTTGTTAAATTCGCTGTACTATGAGGGAGGGAGGGAGGGTTTGTAAAGACCTAAAATCCTTAAAAATGGAGATTTGATTTCTTGGAAGGAATTTCTGACAGAAGCTTAGATTGCCCAGTTCTCAAAACGAAATTTATCAATAGAGACCATCTCTACCAATATTTGTGAATCATAGTATTCTTAGAAAATTATACTATTCTACCTCTTTGTCGAGCTTGTGAACATTTACAAGATAAACATGTGCCAAATATTTATAAAAAGAGAGCTACAAGTAATAGGAGCTATTATCGTAACTTTGTATTCCGGTATCCGATTGAGGCGATTCAAAATGCGTTGGAGGAGAGCTACAAGTAATAGGGGCTGGCGTAGTTTAAGATAACATAGACCAATATTCTTTATGAACTTGTATTGCAAGAAGTTTTGACACCTTCATGGACTCTTAGACCATGTAGGACTATGGCAAATTGTACATATACCCGTAATAACTGTGTATAAAAGAACAATGTATCGAAACTCAACACTACTCAAATAAATAACAAAGCAAAATTTATACGATTCTCTCTAACATTTGATCATTATAACACTTTTTGTTCCACTAACAATTTTCATGAGACTCGAGTTGAAACACATATACATCCTCAAAAGAAAAGAAATGAAAAAAAAAAAAATCACTAGCTCCGTTTACCTTCCTCACCACCCTCTTCTAAGTAAATCTTCTTCCTCCCATCAGTCCTACCAAATAGACAAATCAAAAGGAAGCACGTGGCGTAAAGGCCAAAGGCCATCCAACTGGTTTTGGGCGGTTGGTGTAGCACAGCCCTATGAAACACTGTCATGTAGTAATGCAGCCCAACACCAAAACCCAAAAAGGTCTGGGCCAGGCCCAGTAACTTGGTGACCAGCCCAGTTACAGTGGAGAACACCAGAATCAAGTACATCAAGAGCAGCACGAGATACAAAACATAAGCAAGAGTTTGCAGAACTTGTACACACACAAAGGTGGACTGTGACGTAGTATAGAAAACCCTCAGTGGCTCAAGTCCAGTGAATAATGAGGATAAACATAATGTGTAGAAATATATAGAAAGATAAATTTGGATGAAAATTAAGAGCATTTGGAGTGGAAAGTAGGCTCTGATATGATTGAAAATAAGTAAAACAAGAATAAGTATAATCAAAATAAAGCCAAAAGAGACTGTAGAGGCAATTGTGGGTGCATATTTGTTGCCTACATAAGGTTTGAATCCTTTGGTGAATGCTATATTATACTTGTTGAGGTAAACTTTTGAAGTTTTGGAAATTTTCTCCAAATCTGGCACTAGGGTTCGTTGAAACTTAGTGGGCAGGTCTTTGATCTCCTCAACCAAATCATCAACTTCATCTCGATCGATCCAACTCCTCCGGTTTTTATCTCGATTCTTGGACTTAGACTCACTTAGCTTCTTTTCCAAATGGACTTTATTCTTGAACCTAGATTTGTTCTTGTCCGAATATGAGGGAGTTTTAATAGAAGTAGTTTTCTTCTTGATGATTGGAGGATCGTCTTTATATTGTGACATTTTTCTTATACCAAAAAGCTCATCACTGTGTGGTTGGGTTTCAGTGTAGGCAGAAACGAAGATTGAACTCAAAAAAATCAAGAATAGATGAAATAAAAGTACCTTTCTGAGATTGGATTCTAGGAATGGAGCCATATCAATGTTTTCAAAATTTCAGAGTAGAAGAATGAAGGGTAGTTGGCGATTAGGGACATTAATTGAGAGATATATAGCCAGGACTTTTAATGCAGTGTTCTACCTGGTTTTACATTCCTGTTGTTGAGATTAAGAGATTGATATATTATAGAAGATGTCAGGTGGCATTAGGAAACTAGTAACATATTCTAGTACAAATGAAATTTTATATTGATCATAGTATAATTAGGACTCCAATAGATCTGGAACTGTACAATATAATAATTTAATACATAGAATTGTAGTAACGTACTGTACTTACAAATGAAAATATGATACATTACAATTAGGACGGTACCAATGTAGTTAATACAAATGGAATTAGGAATTGGAGTTCGATTGCAGTATTGTGCAAAAATATTGACACTCTTACTCCTTATCTCTATATCTCGTTGCGTTCTAACCACTGTTGCTTCCTCCCCTATGTCCCCTCATTCCCCTCCCTTTGTTTCGTCTTCTTCCCAACCTTTACTTTGCTTATTTATTTATTTTTCTTTTTTGTGATTTAGAATGGCATCCCTGTTGACCGTGGAAGAGGATAACATGAGGAAGGCAATGAGATGAATATAACTTTAGTAAGACTAAATTAGAAGACATTTGGTCTTTGAAGAAGTCTTTTCGACTTTATATTTTTCATTTTTTACCTTGACTTTTAAAAATACTTTAAAAGAGTATTTAAAAAAAAAAAATTGCCTATGAAGTAAATCATGTTATGGAAAATGTGCTATTAAGTCTAACAAAACAAGAGCATATTTATTCTTCATATTTTCAATTATGTTTTCGAATCACTTTGACAAAGCAATTATGACTTGTTTTCAATGTAATATTTCATTCATGTAAGTTAATTAAAATTATAGTATGTAAACAGCTCCAACAATGGTATGTAAATCATTTTATATTTACATTAAATAAAAAATCCTTCTATTTACATAAAAAAATGTATACCATATGACTTGCAATACCATATGAGTTATGGTTTACATGAAAGAACTACAAGTTAAAATATGTATTAAAACCAAGATTTTTCTCATGAATAGAAAATAATTAAATTAAAAAATAAGTCAAACCGTAAAGAATTATTTTCGATGAAAACCTTTTCCTCCCATCCAATTCTTCTTGATGAGGATCGTGATCGATGTTTTTTTTTTTTTTTAATTTCTTTTTACGATAGAATTTTGTGTAATTGAAACCTTCCTCAAGGTTATTATTATTGTTATGGTGACAATAATATCAAACTTCAAAATTAAGAAGTATCTTAAATATCAATTTAATATTCTTGTCATAAGTTTAATATAATTCTTTAAGAATGGAAGATATATTTTGTAATCTTATAAAGTGTAACAATTACACTCATTTTTCAATTCAAGCCCATCACACTAATACATTTATGTAAATATTCCCACATATCTTATGTAAACTTTACGTCTCAATGACGTAATTAAATCCTATTAGTATTTTGTTTAAAAATCATTGGTAGTTTTTGTAATTAAATAATTATTTATTGTTGCTTTTTGTTAATCAAATCGTAAATGATTTCAATTTCGGAGAAAAAAAGAATTATATTCTTAACTGGTCAACCAAAATATTTATGATACTATTTTTGAACCTTTTTCTTATATAAAAAAAGTATTTATAGTTTCAGAACAATTATCTTTTAGAATATTACAACCTAAAGAAAACATAATAAAAAAAATATATATTAATATTAGACTTTGATGTCATTGGATCTTTATATTAATCGATCAGTATGGTAATTTAAATTTGTAAATGTTCAAAAATTAAAATTTTGAGATTTCAAATATTTAGAATTAAATTTTTAATTTTTTAATACTAAATCACAATTTAAATTATCTGTGAAGTTATAATTAATTAAGATAGTGATAAAATTCTTGGTAAATAAATAAATAATGATCAGAGCTATTTCCAAATAAAAATTAAATTTCTGAATCTTGCTTGTTAATTTACTATCCAACTAAGTAACTATTGACCTAAAAAATCTGTACGACATTAATTGCTAGGGAGTCACCATGTGAAGCAATAGAGAGAACCCACCTTTGAAAGCTTGCCGAAAATAATTTTGGGCTACTCTCAAACCTCAAATCAAGCATGGATTCCAACAGAAAGTGAAAAGAAAGGGGAGTGCCCACCAAGTTATATTTGAGATGAACTAACTTCGAAGCAAACGACCGTTTCAAATCAACTATACTTTGAGATCATGAAAAATGAATATGTTGTATTGCCAAAGTTACCTTTTTGAAATAATATGACCAATTTTCCATGGTACTAGCATCAGTTGATCTTTAATTAGGAAGTGGAATTAATAGGGGCATAGTAAGAAAAAGACGTGGTGGTGATGGATTGAAATTCAAAATACTTCCTATGAACTCACGCCACACAAAATATAATATAGAAGGCTAAGATCATACACTCATGACAAAGTGGATTAGATATTCAAACGAAAACAAATCTAGACATAAATCGTAAAATATCCTACCAGATCTTCGCAGCTTTGCTTACCAAATGGAAATCAACATCCTCATTTGAAAAAATGAGAGAAGCATGATAGGTTGCGAAGGATATGACCCAGCAACGAAAAACTAAGGAAATGAGTGTACTTTTATGAGACATAAATCTCAAAGAACTTTGACAAACTATTGAAATTTTTTTCTAAAACATAATAAGAAATTACATAATCGTACGCCAATATTTTTAAAATACTATTTGACATAAGCATCAATATTTTATTTATACTAACACATTCTAATTCCACTTGAACTAGGAAAAAGTGACTAGGAATATCGAGAGTATCAAGAAATTGAAATTTGTTCATGTAATTAGATTAATATATATATA